ATTCACGAACCTTCGAGAATATGACGTGTTACTAGCGTCATGTGACCCCCGCTGTCGTAACAATATTATGTCTGCATACCACACTTATCCTTCCTCCTTTTTTTCAGTCTTATCCTCAAGTCGACAATTGAATATAACTTTAAACTCACAACATATCCAAGAAGTGTGTTAGCCTTCCCTCATTCCTGGGAGTGATTACAACCCACATGGATGACACAACCCTAAAACAAAAAGTTACACTCAAATACAATGAAATAGAACCCTTTAATCATAATTTAAAATACTAAATTAAAAAAGAGTAAATAAAAAAGAAAGTCCCATTTTAAGAAATGTTAAACTTTGAAACGATTCATTGTTGTTTAAGTATGAATAAAAATAACAGAAAAACTTTTTTAGATTCTTCTTTTAAATCAGGAAATGATATATATATATATATTAACAATGAAATCTATGCACTACAAAAACGCTTTAACATAGATTGATATATATAAAACAGTCCTTTAATAAGTATACACATAAACAACATCCCCTTTAACAAAGAAAACATCTCAATAATGAAAATTCATAAAAAATAACGTTAACATAGATTACCTATCAATTTTAGGAGGGAGTAGTCTAAAACATTTAAACATTTTTGGCATAAAAATTAGAAAAAATTAAAACTCTTTATCCTAGATACACAGGAATTCTTGCATTACCAGTGCTCTATAGTTGTACCTGTCGTCTGCTGACAACTGTCCAAGTATTTCCAGTAGTTGTACCTTCAGGCTCGTTGCCAGGTTCACTGCTTTGTGCTTCTCTGCCCATCCATACATTTCTGCCAGGATATGCTTCCCACGGTGCCTTCCCATCAAATTCCTGTGGCTTCCTTCGTACTAGATTATCCCTATTGCTGACACTCATGTCTGGAATGTGACTTCTGGCAGGACTGAAATGTCTGCATTAGGGTTTAGGTACGGGGACTGGAAGGGACTTCCCATTGTCTGAGGCTGATTAGGTTCATGGCTAATATATCCCCCTTGTGTAAAAGACAGTAAATCATCCTTTAATGTATTTAATTCACTTTGAAATCTACTAATGTTTTCCATTTGTGTGTGCTGGCTTTCTCTCAACTTTCGGATACTTTTTCGTGTTCATTTTCTTTCTTCTCCAACCACTGCTG